CTTTTCAATCTGTCTGTGATTGGTAGGTACCACATCCTTTGGTACGGTACCCTATTGCGCCATCGACCTTGCGGTTTGAATCGTGGCTTCTTACAAAATCGACATTCTTATAACTTCTCATCATCTCCCCAGTAAATCATGCAGTTGTCGATGCAAACGTCTATCATCTCTGAGGGCAATCCAAGACTATATACCAATTTCTGAATCTGATAATAAGATTCAGCAGACACATTGTCTTCTGGCAAATACTCTTTAAACAAGTCTGCCCATGCATCCATACAATTTTCAGGTAGATTGTGATCGGTTTTAATACTCATCATTCTAGCAGCCAACAACAATTTAGACAGACCTTCTCTACAACCACTGTAAATTGGCTCATTCGCAGCTTGTAACCTTTCATAAAACTTTTTTGCATCTAAGTTAGGTTCTTCAACTTCATCATCATCATGAGTTACAAATGCATCACCTACCATATCATGAACCCTATCACAATCTACCATTTGTTCCTCTTGGTGATGATAGCCATCACTACTGCTACCTTCATTACGCAAATGATCAACTGGTTCAACCTGAAAATTGCTATTACTACTGCTACCTTCATTCCTACAACTAGCATATTCTCCATGTTGATACCAAATATAATAATATGACATGAAACCTCTATTTATTAAATGCTACCAAACATTTTCACGAGGGCCTAATTTGGTATTGCAGCATTTCCGACAAGGACAGAACATCTTACCACTTTCCTGTGTGAGTGGTGTAGAAGCTGCTTGATGCATAAACGTCTCCAACCCTTCCATAAATTCTTTCGTCACCCTCCCGTTATTATCTCTGTGTGAATACATCCACTGCTGCAACGCGAAAATATTTCTCGGACCGGACATTTTTTTGTGTTCGATCAAGCTTATAGCTGATTTTTTTTTGGTGTGTTTCAAATGAATCACATAAGGTGGTATTTATAGAAATTTTCGAATCTGAGCATTTACTAGGAAATTGCTAGGAAAGGTAGGTACAAAACACGTTTTTGATTTAAATTTGATATTTTCTATCCAGTTCCTCCTAATTTCGTAGTAACAAAACCCTTTCCTCCTAATTTCGTAGTAAAGACATACTATGACTTTACGAGGAAAGGTGGTACTACGAGTTTACGAGGAAATGTACTTTTTCCTCGTAAGGTCCTCGAAACATTACTACGGTCTTACGATGAATCCTGTTTCTCGTAAGGTCATGAGGATCTTACGAGGAAATTAGATTTCCTCGTAAAATGGAAGTAAGTGCCTAGTAAGTTTACGAGGAATTATTTTCCTAGTAAAATTTCCTAGTAAACTCTTAGTTTTCTTGTAGTGATAGTTCAACCCGACGGAAAGAGTTCTTACTCTTTAAAAAAAAGGTTCATAAACTTTTTGTGTGTTTTAACCAACTTTAAATATTTTATGCGATAATTTCTCATGCTATAAAAAATTTGTAAGCAAATTCTTAAGTCTCTTTCTTTTTCTTTTTTGCTAACTGGTACAAATTCTTATCTACAATTTGAGCTAAATTCGTAAATCTCTTTCTGAACTGAAAGTACATAGATTTTATATTATGTTCAAAATTTTAATGTAAAAACTTATAGTAAAGTTAGCTAAGTTTTACTGTTAATGCCAATAGACCAATACTATTTTTACCAGGGAAAACATTTAAAAACAAAATGAGCTCTTGTTAGGAAAACAATATTTATATTACTAATAAAACTAATAATGCACTGCAAAAATTAACCACACCGTCGTAATGTGCTCGGGTGTTTGACTCTGGTATCAGAAACTCTCTATGACAGTTTGCTGTCGACTCTAAACCTGTGAAATAATAGAAACATAACAAACTAGAAAAATTATAAGAACATATTTAAATTATAAAAAAGTAATATATATATACTAGCAAGTTTTTTTTGTTCGATCGGTTTCCAATACTTCTGGGGCACCATCAAATCTGGATGAACTCCGGCTGCAGGTGCCGGAGGCGCATCTTGAGCCGCATGGGAAGCAACTTGTGACGCAACAGGAGCACCTAGAAGCTCAGCAGGAATCGGTGGAGGAGCTCTATGGGACTGAGTCTAGGGACGACTACTGCAGGACCCGATGAACTAGATGCGCCTACATTTTCTGTGCCAATCATCTAACTATAATGTGGACGCTTTTGTCCTCTATTTATAGAAGTCATCTACAAGAAAAATAAATTCAAATTATAAGCATTTAAAAACTGAAAATCCTACTACTAATTACGCAACCTGAACTACATCGTAAACTAAAATAATTCCGCAACCTGAATTACTTCTGTAACCTATACTAATTCCGTTGACATAACTACATTAATTTTTTTTAAACATTACTAGAGAGAGTGAGACACTAGAGAGGAAGGGAGAAGGAGGAGGGGAAATGGTTCAGATTTATATAGTATATATGTTTCTCGTTAATTCGTCGTAATATTACAGCAAAATAACAATGATCCACATTTTTGAGATACGATGAATTAACGAGGACCAGTGTTTTTAAATTATGACGAATTAAAAAGACCACGTTTTTTTCTATGACGAATAAACAAGGATCCACATTATAAGTTACAACAAATATATGACGAAAACAGTTTACGATGAGTTAACAATGTCTCGCATTTTTTTGTTTACGATGAATTAATGTGAACAACAATATTACAACTAATAAACGAGGACCTGTGTTTTTCTTTCATGGTGATTTAACGAGTTAGTCCCATACCATAAATCCTAATACATGAATCCCTAAACGCTGACTCCATAGAATTTGTACAAGATCACGTCACTACGACAAATCATCGTAAATACATAGTTAGCTGACAACCGGTTTACTACGATTCATTGTAATTATGTGGTAACCTATACAATTAACTTGTAGAACAAACTATATACACATAGAACTAATTTAACATAACTTATAACATATACACGATGGACTTATAAAATAATATACATGCATGAAGTCAAAAACATTTCAAATTCATTAATATATAGATAAAACATCTTTGGGCGCAAAACCCTAAAAGAAAGGATTCGTCATTCATCACTTTGATTATGATGCAAATAACTAAAACCAGGTTTATGCTCCAGTACATTGTTTTCATGCTCCCAAGATCAATAAAACACTAGTTTGGTCTTCTTGGTTCTCTTGGTTCTATTTCCGTAGTATGACAAAGAACTCGAAGTTATTTTACTCTAACACATTAATATCTCTTCAACTTCCGTGTATATTGGGAAAATGGTAACTGGTGTTTTTATTTACCAAATAAATTCAACATGAAAATATTGCAATAACTAAAATAAAAGATAATATGAAAATAAGTGGTTGACATAAGAATAAAATCCAAGTCACTTGGATATCTAAACAATTATCAAACAATATTTTTTTTTTCAAAAAATTAAAATTATCCGCGTAAGATGCAGATCAGCCATAGTTCATGAAAATTTATATATTTCTATCTTGAAGGGATGGGGAAAGTCGCTATATTTGTAATTCTGCTATTATTTTAAATCTTATCAGTATGATTAATCATAATGATGATATACGATTTAATACTACATTTAAGATATGTTGTCAATATAAGCAAATGTAATAATGATATTTAGAAATTTATTTTGCTAATCTTATAAGATTTATTAAAATCATTTCTTAAATAGTTTTGCTAATTTTAGACACTGCATAGAAGGTTTTGGTTTGCATATTGAACAACATTTACAAATTACATTCGAGCGGTACATAATTTCCAAAGAAGTTGATTAAAAGTGGAGTTTCTAAATGAAAGCTACTTCAAAAGTCTCCAAAGATATAAAATTTTCGCATATGTTTACTGTTATTTGGTAAATAATTAAAATTTGATTATATATGAGTTTTAATTTTTACCACATTTCAAAAGTGAATATTTATATAGAAAATGTACTGTAATGGTGATTTATGTATAATTAGTCATTACCATATTTAAAAAAATAGAAATTCTTATAAAAGAAATTGTACATTACATAATTAAGTTGATGGTATGTCATATTTTGTAAACGCTATGTCATAATTTGTTTTGCTTAAAATAAATGTAATGATGACCGATATACAAATTAATTCAAAAATATTATTTGAGACAAATTACTTCGACAATAATGTTTAACTGATGAACTTAGTAAGGCAGTTAAAAACTTGTTTTAGGGATTGTGAAAAGTTTGTATTGCTTTGCTAGGTATGGTAAATTATCAAGGATTTTTTTTTAAAGTATCAATCATGTAGAGACAGACACAAAAAACTGCATAAGTGAACATAATTTTCCCATCAAAGAATTGTGTAGTTCGAATTTTTAAGAACGTCGACAAATTCTGTTCGAAGTACGGTAAACATTTTTCCAAAAAAGTTGGATTAAAAATGGAGTTGCTTGCGTGGGAAAATTACTTCACAATCACAAGTGAACAGAAGATGACATCAGGTAGGCGACAGCAGTCAAACAGCTTTCAGTTTTAATAGCGGCACTTTTGGTTACATGATATAATTGGTAAAAGGAAAAGTCTTTGTCGCGTGTCTGGTCCAAAACAGTAGGGCTCGACACTTCTCCCCTAAAATATTTCCTAAAATGAAAAATAGTATTTGATTTTCAAAGAAACGACAAATATTTTTGTAGGGAAAGTCTTTGTCGCGTGTCTGCTCCAAAACAGTAGGGCTCGACACTTCTCCCCTAAAATATTTCCTAAAATGAAAAATAGTATTTGATTTTCAAAGAAACGACAAATATTTTTGTAGGGAGGTTAACTGGTCAAATATATTCCAAGAGAATATCGTTTTTACAAACCAAATTATCTTTTTATTTTACGAATGTGTAAAAAAGGAAATCTATGCTTCTTACAAACCAAATTATCTTTTGCAAAATATAAGCACAATCAGAAAGTAATTGGTTTATCTGGAACAAATACTAAATGCAAAGTAACACACAATTCACAAACAAGCAATAAAACACTAATCAAGTTCTACCGTCTTTCCATCCAACATATTCCAAACTTGTTCAACGTCAAACGCGGAGGTTGCCCCCTTTTCTGTTGCCGCAGCTTCTGGGACGAGCACCTCTTGCTCTTGGCTCTCCTCTAGCAAACTCTCCCACCACATTTTCTCTTCAGCCATTGAATTACTAACAAGGTCACCCTTCTCTTGATCAGCTTTGTTACATGTCATACTATTTTCACAGACATTATTAATGTTGTTGAGTCCAAGGCATAGAGGAACAACGTCAACTTCTGGAAGGCCATGGAGATGGTTACCGCCGTTGTTGACAGTGAAGGATCGAGGTCGAGGTTTGAAAACGTCGATTTTTTGGGCGGGTGTCGTAGAAGAGCATGGAATGTTTTTCTCTATCATCTTGGTCTTACAAGACTGTTCGTGTTTCTTACTCAAATGGGTGTTCCAGTAATTCTTGACATCATTAGCGGTTCGACCGGGTAGTCTACCAGCAATTAAGGACCACCTAAGCATGCATTTTAACGATTTGGATCTATATGACTTAGTACTGGATCATTAGATAGGAAATAAAGTTGAATTTGGGTCTCAAGAATACAAACTTGTTTCCTAAAAGCTTATGAAGGCGAAGAAGAAGATCAACTTCATCAGAGCTAAGTTTTCCTCTCTTGATAGTTGGCTTCAAATAGTTCAACCATCTTAGTCTACAACTCTTCCTACACCGATTAAGCCCTACAAAAACCAATAGTTTTCTCATGAAGATTTACAACAGTAAAAATTATGTATTATTTACTCACAACACGTCTTCGTACAGAAAATTTCACTAAGTTCATGTACTAAACGACAAAGCAAAAAAGAGTTGGCATCTTTTCGCTTTGTCAACGGAAGTAAAGTAGTCTTAAATACAGTTCTTCGTTTAAGTTCGACACAACTAATTATGAACAACATGAATGTTCTTTTCATAAACAACCTTATAACATGAAGTAAAGTAGTCTTAAATACAGATTTTCGTTTAAGTTCGACATAACTAATTATTAACAACATGAATGTTTTATTTTCATGAACAACCTTATAAAGCACGAGTCAATGATTTGTTTATTAAGAAACAAAGAAAAACAATTACTTGTGCAGCCATGTGTTATCAATTCCCCGAATAGTAGATAGAGTTTTCCATTGTGATTGAGTTATATGTATATTATATATACATGCATGTGAGTGAGTGTGTGTGTGTGTCTGCAAAAGAAAAAAGTAACCTACCAGCTCTTAAAGGAACTTGATGCCATTTGCCTTCTCCATATATACCAATGCATCGCCTCAAGAGACTATCTTCTTCAGCCGTCCATGCACCTTTTCTTAACCCTTTGGGCGAACCCTCCATGGACCAAAGATAGATATTAAAATATCTAACCAAATTATTGTAAAATCTAACGTAACTGGACGAAGAAAAGGGTCATTGAGTTGCGGTTTCACAAATTACTGTAGGCGTTTATATATACACGTAGGGGCGGACCCAGAGAAATATTTGTATGGGGCACATATTGAAATATATATATAGATTAGGGGGTTTAAATAAATTTGTATTGAGTTACTTGAGCAAAAACAAAAATGAGTGTGGGGCAAATGCCATCCCCATCAACCACCTGCGTCCGCCCCTTTACACGTGAGGCAGCGACGTGCATGTTTGTTTGATACACACATTTCCTCTTTTTTTGTCCTATTTTATTTATTAAGTAATTTAAAGAAAATACATGTCTAGTAGTAATATAAATTAAGAGTAAGGGCGGTTAATGCTCGGTGGCAAATAGTTTTTGTTATTACAAGGGATATATTCTTGCACTAAAATTAAACAGAGAACAGAGATACAGTGGATGCATAGCTTACAAGTGCTTTTCTGCTAAGTATTTGAAATTCATTTGAGAAGGAGATGGTTTGTTTACAAAACAAAGGAGATGAGCAAACTAGCCTTCCTCTGCCAACAAAAAAAAGAAAAAAAAAACAGAGCAGCGCTACAAAGATTCAGGACTGGATCAGTCATGCTTAAGGCATAGAATCATAAGGTGTCCAGTGATCAAATCCATTCTCACATCACCAACTACAGTGAAACTTCTATAAATTAATAATGTTGGGATTACACCAAACTATAATTTTTTTTATTAGTTTATAGAAATTATTAATTTATCAATATATTAATTAAACCAAAGACTCAATTTAAAATTATAAAATTATATAATTTTATAGAAATTTTTAGTGTATATTAATTTATAAAATATTAGTTTAAAGAGATTATACGGACACCTAACGAAATGTTCAGCAAGGCAGCGGAGCTTTAGCCCTATTCCCTGTCATACATACTCCATATATTGCATTTTGTTGCAATGAGCCATATTTCATTTTGTTGCAATAAGCCATATTTTTCTTGCTTGATGGGGACAAAAAAACTTTTTTTTTACCCCAGGCCCTATGAAGAGTTTAAGCCGGTCCTGTCCATATGCTCACATATTTTAGGCGGTGATTCTTACACCAGAAGGACGATGATTCATTCTCATTGAAAAGGAGCCAAATCACCTTTAGCGACACGGTCTGATTCCAAAGACAAAATTCCTTAAGCATAGACCTCCCTCAGAGCTTCTCATCCTTTCTCTCTTATTTTATCTGTCAAGAGCTTCAATCTCCATAGCTTTTATTACATAGAAGGAATAGACAGAACAGTTGTTGCTACAAATATTCTGACCTTTAACAGCTCTGTGAATATGACAATAGACACTCCTGCTCCTTACTTTGGAATCAGAGCCGGCCCTGGACCCAAGCAGGAGAAGCAGCTGCTTCCGGCCGCCAGAGAATATAACAAATATCGGCCACATATTTAACAAAGTGTCTCATTAGTGTAGTGGTTGAAGTGTCCTTGTACATCAACCGGAACCAGGGTTTGAGCGACCCTAACAGCAAAAAATTTATTTTCGGCCATTGTTTCATTTTTTGCTTCTAGCCTTAAGAATTGTAGGACCGGCTCTGTTTGGAATCCATGTTTATTCTTTTACCTTCTCTACTCTCACCCGAGCCACTAGTCATGTACTCTTTGTTTTAGATATCAAATATTACTCCTTTGTTACAGTCGTTGTAGTCTGACTAATTTTGGGTGTGAAGCTTGAGAGTTTATTACGAACCAATAAAGAGTACATACCCATTGTGAAGCAGCATCGGTGTACCATCATGAACCTACAGATATGATATCCGCCCAACCAATTACCATCAGCTTCACTATTATATATGTCTCGTCACCACTATTAATGCATCTTAAGAGTCTAAGGAATATGATCATAGTACCTCCCCATGGTCAACCTACTTTTTCAACAATCTGTTTAATAAATACATGTGGACCCAACATCCTCAAGAACCGGTGGTTCTCTTAAAGATTACAATATGGTTTCACAAGGCTTCATGAAATAATAACTCACCTGAGCATAGATTCATCTCCAAATCTTAGTAACAAGTAACGCATCATTTTATCTTAGGATAAACTTCATAACTTTTTTTTTGTGCACCAACTTTCATTAAAAACTAAAAGGCCTCAGGCCCATAGTTCATCCCGTGAAGGGTCCATTACAAGTGAAGAGTTGAGGATAGACTTTTCCAACAAATCGGCTTCCCCATTAACAGAACGAGAGATATCAAGAAAAAATATCGACGAAGGTAGAAGAGAATCTATGAATATCTTGCACAATACCATAAATCTCTGAGATCTGGATGTCGCTGTTGATTGCTCGAATGAGCGTTGAGTTGTCAGAGAGCATCCTGAGGTTTGCAAACCCTAGATTCTCTGCGGTGGTGATTCCCAATCGAAGGGCGAGTGCTTCTGCTATTAGAGGGCTGTTTACTGATTCACAGTTTATGGCCCCTTTGGTGATTAGGTTCAAACCTCATAACGCTTAAAATGTAAAAGTTTGAACATTTGCAATCAAAACACATAATTAATGCCAACTATATTTCAAAAATAACTGAAATGGAAAATAAAAGCTTAATTTGTCTTCAACATCAAAAGTAGGATACATAGACAAAGAAGGAATGTATCTTGGTTCGGCAATTAAATATTTTCTCCTTCTTTTTTTGAGAGAGTGAAACATCGAAAATGCAAGACATGAAATCCAGCCATTCCGGCAACAACCTTGTATGCTTTTGCAAAATGATTTGGCTTTTTTTTTTGGAAAGAAAAAAATGAATTAGCTTTTTTGGTGAATCTGACACGAATTGGATAATTAAGGTTCTTGAAAACTCTTGAATTGAAATCAGATTTGAAAATGATAGCGACATAGTGGAGAAGTGAATAGATATCATCATCAACGAGTCAATCTCTAACCTTTTCTCCTTTAGTTATGAGATAATTAGCCAGAAGAAAAGTACTAGTGAAATATTATTTCTTGATTAATCAAGAAATAATCAAGAAAACAAAAAGCTATTCTATTATTTCTTGATTAATCAAGAAATACGATAAGGACTTTTAAAGATGAGTTTTTTTTTTCCTGTTTGAAAACAAAAAGCTATTCTATTACTAGCCTATTCTTCTGTTTTAAAAATAAAACCTTTAAACTAATTATAATAGGTATATCACATTATTTAGTGAAATGTTATTCTTGACTGTATGATGGATTTGTTTGGCACTCCAAACACAACCATAGACTCTGCAATAACAAAACCAACAAGTTTTGTTCAACATTTTCAGCTAGTAGTAATTGGTTATGTGTCGAAGTTGGAATTGATAACAACTAGGTTTGATGTTCGCGTTTGAAAACGTGGGTTAACTTTTGAGTTTATATTTTGTAAAATCAAATTTGAAATTAAACATTCGTGGTTTGATGATTAAAATTCAGAGTGTAGATATTCCAAAGTATCTTACTGTAGACTGATAACTTTTATTCTTTAAAACTAATAAAACACATATTAAATAGAAAAGCATTAGAAAAGCAATGGTGTCCTAGAAGTGATTAATTTCACACGTGATGTTAGTTTCACATGTGATGCTCAAAGCATTAGAAAAGCAATGGTGTCCTAGAAGTGGTTTGTAACTTTTTCAAAAAAAAAAAAAAAATTCAACGAATCAGGGTCCGCCATGTGGCGAACCCCTGACGATCCGGTATCACCGCAGCAAGCTCACAAGACTCGGGTTCACCACTGTTTTCCTCGTAAACCGTGTGAACCCCCCTTTTTACCCCTTTTGATCTCCCAATGGAGATGGCCTAAGAACGCAGAGTTTGCAGTAGCGTATGTGACGTTTTACAACAATCGATCAAACTGTTCTGGATCGCTTCAACCCGCTCTAAATCTTTTGAATTCAAAGCTGGTTCCAACTAACGCATGTGATTGCAGGTGATTGCGGAAGGGTGATCTTAAAAAATATATATATAAATACAAAAATAAAAATAGGGAAGTTTACTAGAATAAGTCAAATTAGTTCTGTAATTACTAGAATAAGTCATTAAAGTTTAAAATTACTAAATAATTTTTAGGGTCCAAAATGCCCCTTTTTATAATTGTGATTGAAAAGGTATATTACAAAATTACCATTTAAAATTTTCCAAAATTTGCGTCGACAGATTTATTTAACAAAAAAATAAATCTATCGTGATATAAATCTGTTAATTAAACCTGCTGTGAAATTTACATCTGCCGTGTATTTGGTAGCAGACTTTTGAGTTACAACAGATTTGTTTAAGATGGCTGATTTATCTGTCCGATTTAGTGTTGACAATAGATTTATATGTTTTTGACGATCGAACGAAGTGGCCGATTTTTTAAAATTGCCAGTTTTATATCGTATCAGTTAGATTTTTAAGACCGATTTAAAATTACCTTCAACCAATTTTTAATGAGTAACATATATAAATTCTTATGACATATATGTTTATCCGATTTAAATTTATGGTCGAATTTTATATTTATTTGGTGGCAGATTTTTAAAATTGACATCTTTGACGGCAGACATATTAAAAAAATTTAATTACCACATTAAGACACACTTTTGTAGCAGACTTATCTACACGAATTTTTTGGTTAAGTTCACAAGGATTTCGGTTTATCTTAACTTGGTTATGTTTAAATTATTTTGGTTTTTATTAATTTTAAATTTTGGTTTAAATCAATTTGTTCTTGGTTTCAATTAATATAAACTTCCGGTTAAAACAAAATTAAAATTCGGTTTAAGTTAAGAAGCATACCTCATGTTTTCCAATTAGGTTTACGCAATGTTCTAAAATACGTTATACGGTAGTCGGGCGGTTGACTACCGTATAGCGTTTAAACGCATATACAGACGCTTATACGGGGTATATACGGTCAATATTTTCTCTTCATGTTTTATATATACTAATATATATATGTTCTATATAGTAAAAAAATATTGTGTGACACCAAAATATATTTCATATTTGGGTGTATATTTGAATTTTTCTTGTTCATGTACATATATTTCTCTTTTTTTGAACTGAAATGTACATATATTTCTGGCTGATTCAATTTTAAAATTCATGAGAGATGTGATATATGTTGTTTGGTTTAGTAGAAAATGAAGCTTAGCAAAAGTTTTACGAAGAAATTACGTAACATTATCATTATCACTAGTTTGACTTTTGTATTTAATTAAGAACCACACATTAATGTGCATGTCATAAATAAAGAAAATTAGTGTTGATTCAAGCGGTTCATGAACAAAACCGTATAATCTAAGCGTACATGTAAAAACGGTACAGTGGCTATCCGTTCAGCGCATTGACACCTTATAAACGTCCGTACTGACCGAATTTTAGAACAGTAGGTTTACGTTCTCTGTCGTCTTCTTCTTTCTGTTACTTGTCATTCATAAATTTTGAATATACTTTCATGGAGATCTACAACGGTGTCTTCTAAATCATATTGATTGGAGAGTAATGGAACACATGATTGTCGTCTCTGGGAAGTGGAAAGAGTTACGATTTGAAATATGCATTGGAGACACGTTTGAAGATATGTTCTGTTGTCCACAAGTTTGATTTTGATGTCATTGCATCAACGCAAACACTGCTCTTTTTAAAATGTTGGGTACACGGATGTACATGGAAGCTAAGAGCTACGCCAATAGGTGAGTCTTTCAAGTTCACAGTCCGAGTATATGTAGATGAACACACCTGCTCTATAACGGAACGCTCATCTCGTTCCCGAAAAGCTACTCCTGAGATTCTTGGACTCTTGTACAAAGACTATATTGGTGGGGTTGATCCATCTATTTTGCCACGTCATGTTTCTTGTGCTATGAACTTGAGCTTCGGAATCAAGGTTAAATAAACTTATACTTCAAATATATTGTCTTCTCCAGCCGTTACTTCATTTTAAATGGGTTAATGTTTATTTTTTATTGCAGATGGATTACTGGAAATCTCATCGTACACTTATAGTTGCTAGAGATCTCGTAATGGGTTCTTCGGAGAGTGGATATAAGGAATTACCTACGTACCTGCACATGATTAAAATGTCAAATCCAAGGACTGTGACTATACTGGATGTTGATACAAACAACAGATTTAAGCATTTATTCCTTGCATTCGGCGCTAGCATTACTAGATTTCCATATATGAGGAAGGTTGTGGTGGTTGATGGAACGTTTTTGCAAGGGAAGTACAAAGGAACGCTTCTGATTGCAATCTCACAAGATGGTAATTTTCAAATCTTTCCCATTGCGTTTGCTGTGGTTGACACAGAGAATGATGAATCATGGACATGGTTTTTCCGCCAACTCAGCCGTGTGATCCCCGATAATGAAGGATTGGAGCTAATATCTGACAGGCACAAGTCGATAGAGAAAGCTATTGCAGTGGTCTATCCATTGGCAAGCAGGGGAATTTGCACATACCACTTATATAAAAACATCTTGTTACGATACAAAGAGCGTGATTTGTTTGGATTGGTGAAAAAAGCCGCCTACTCTTTTAGGTTAACGGATTTTCAAGAAACCTTTGAGACAATCAAAGAGTTAAACCCAGCTTGCATGCATATCTAGAACGTGCTGATGTACGTAAGTGAGCACGAGCTCATTTTAAAGGTGATAGATATAACCTCCTTACAAGTAACATAGCTGAATCCATAAATCGAGCTTTGTTCGGTGCTAGAAGTTTGCCAATTGTTCACCTTCTAGAGTCGATCCGGTTAATGATGACACGCTGGTTTGCAACAAGAAAACATGACGCTGAGTTGATGAAAACCTCTCTTACTCATGGTGTAGAGAGGGTGTTGGAGGTAATATATTTTGTTATGTCGTGTAATATTATAAACTATTTGCTAGTATACTAAGCTTTAAATTTTGCAGGGCCGGATACCTATTGCTAAACTACTAAAAGTTCAAGCAATAGACATTTATCAGTCACAAGTGATAGGAGTCTCGTCTTTACATGTTGTAAATCTGACCGAGAAGAAATGTTCTTGCCGTAGATTTGATTTGGAGAAGCTACTATGTGCTCATGCTATAGCTGCTGCGGAAGCTAGGAAGATGTCATGTATATTACTTTGGCATCGTTACTATAGGAAGAAATACCTGTATAACGCGTATTACACATGAGTTATGCCCAAAGATGATACCGTTCCTATTCCAGAAGAGCTTGCCAAGAAGATATGTTTACCACTAGAGGTCCGCCAACCACCGGAAAGACCAAAAAAATCAAGACATAAATCCATTTTGGAGAAAGTTGCAAATAAGAAGCGGCCACGGAAGGAACACTCATGTCGAATTTTTAACTAGAATGGTCATAATTCAACAATATGTCCTCTTAAGTGATGAGTTTTTATTTAGTTTGAGACTGGTCATTATATTTCATTTCGTGTGGTGCAACATTACACTTAACTTCTTTATTTAGTAGAATTTGGTCATCATACTTCATTTAACTTGGTGCAACATTACGTTCAGTTTGTTTAGTGGACTTTGGTCATTTCATTATGGTTCATTAGTTTGTCTTTTTCCAGAATTTGTAATGTGCTGATAACAAGTGAAAGAGACGAGCCAGAAGTAAACAAACTAACCATCAACGTTAAACACCCATATTACACATGCGAAACCAAGAAAATACCATCCAAAATAAGCAAAAAACCTAGAGTTATACATCCGAGAAAAAGCAAGCGAAGAAAAAAAAATACAAGTTATACTTCCTAATCCTCCATACCCACCTCGTCATAAATTTCTGCAGCCATCTTCAGTCGCATTTCTGGTATGATCTGATCACTTAAGCCTACAAAATTATATCCCAGAGCTAAACATTCAATATACTTGAGAGTGTAGACGCCACAGTCTCCTGGGTCTTCATTTTGAGGGATCTTCTTGTGCATACGTACGGAAAGTGAACTGCTTGTCACGCTTTGTTTTCGACTTAGGAGTGACCATCTTGTTAAGCAATGCAGAAAGCATTTTCGTGACGGCAAGCACTCCTCTTGCATCGTCTTCTCAGTCATCACAGTTCGAATGCTATCATAAACATGTATTACAGCCTTTTTCAGATCAATATGAAGAGCAACCCAGTGGTTTCCGTTAACATGGTGGCAGAGGAAGAGAGAGTCAACGTCTTTAAGCCACTTCTTACCCGTGACAAATTCAGCTGGATATTCTCCATTGAAAGCCAAGCTATAATGTTCTGGCAACTCATTTGTCTCATCAAACTTCTTGTAGTCGTTAACCCATGATTTCACAACCCAGCGGCCCAGAAATGCAATTCGAGGAGAGCAATATGGAGACTGGGATTGCATGGAGCGTCTGTGAAACATACGCATTGCTGCGGCCATGTGCTGTGACATTAAAAATAACGACACAATTAGAATGAATTTATTCATAATGGATACACAAACATAAACTTACCGAGTCATGCAACCAGCCATAATTCTCCGTTGGCCAAACTTCTCTTGGTATCATAAAGGTCAAATAAAATCTTGCGCTTTTATCTCCATAACCAGGCTCAGCAGCTTCCCTACAAAGAAGAAAAAAAAAGAATAAGACTAGGGATCTCATAAGACTATTAAGAAACAACAAGGTAGGATGGAAGAGAGGAAACTTACAGATCAAACATAATGAAATCCAATACTTTCTTCAATTTCTCTGGAGCCACCTTAGCTAATGGGTCATAAGAATCCTTGGAGACAATTTTACTGATACGCTTCACAGTTGAACTCCCTACAAATGGCCAAATCTGAGTCTTTGTCAGCTGGGTTTTTCTTTTGTGTGTAGGCACCTCAATACTTGAAGCTATTGCTTCTAACGCCTGTCTACAATTTGTACTTTTCTGCCATTGTAGATGATCCTCACAACTCTCTGCGGAAATTGATTGGTCATTTAGCTGTGGGATAGGAAATGGCTTCTCTATCTTCACTTGTATCCCTGGCACCGTCTTCTTATTCTTCTCTTTTTTGACGACGCGTTGTATTGGTAATCCATCAACTGAACCTTTTTTGTCTGAACCATCCATGACTGTCAAGTATAAAACACCAGTTAGTATTTTGTACATAAAAAACAATAGATAACAATGTAAACATACCATCGTGTTGCTACAAGCGTCGTCTTCTTCATGTTCTTTGGATTTGCCGGCATTGGATGTAACTTTTTCATCATCCTTCCCTTTAAGAACATTTATATCTTCCTCTAGTATTGCCATCTTTTTCTTCAACTCAGTCTCAAATAAAGCCATTCTAGCATCCATCTGAGCTTGTACAGAAGCTTCCAATGTCTTAATAACCCTTTCAGCTACACTAACATCCATGGTTTCTACTCTTCCAGTCAAGTTGTTGACAGCCTCAAGCAACTTTTGTATGGGCATATCAGTATGCGATTCTTCCTTCAAAACTCACAAACCAAAAACAGTTTAGATACTAACAAAATGAAAATATTCAAGAGCATGTAAGTACATACCATTTCTGGAGCAGTTTCTTTCTCCTTCTTTCGTTTTGTGGAGGGGCTCTCATCCACTCTATCGGGGACACTAGGTGCACTAACATGAATTTTTCTCTTGTGGCACTACATCCCAAAACTTGTCGTTTAGCTGATCACTGAGGATGTCAACTATCATGTTATCTAAATCATCAGGCGGTTTATCTTCTCCCCATTTCGGATATCTATCCTCCATTGCCTTTACAATCATATGTCTTACATGAATCTGCATTGTAAAGTATAACAATAATTAAGTACAAAAAAATAAGACAGCGAATTACAAAGAAATTGATATACTTTCTGATATTTTTTCTTTTCTTGTGCACAGAAGTTTGGAAAGTTGATACGCTGACGAGAACCATGCCATGACAGAAGCGGAACCTCAGCTTCCTCTATTCGATGCCCATATATCTCTCCTAAACCTGGCACAGACTCGTATATCCAAATTAGCAATGCATGAACACAACCACGTAGTGTGTAACTCTTCTTTCCTTCGTCGAATGTCACCATTTTAATGGAATCCATAAGGCTGGTAAATGCTACACGACCCCATGGATAGCGCTCAAAAGCTGCTGGATCCATCACCCTTTTCGCCAAAGACAGAGGTATTCTACTATTGCTTGAAATTCCCAATATCCCAATAGATAGTAGACACAACAAGCCAACCATTACACGCTCTCTAGGCCAGTTTCTGATGATCGGAAAAAGGGCTTGAAGTTCATTCAACTTGGGTCCTTCAGAAATCGGAACTTTCATCTCCACCCAAAAATCTTCATGAGCCACATCCCACTGTTCTTGCGTGTCAAAGGGATCACAATTTAGCCCTGTAATATCTGAAAACTCATACAAAGAGAATCTCAGTGGCTGGTCTTCTATCAAAGACCACATTTCATGACTGCTCTGAATCGCCAACTGATTCACCAGAAAATAATGAACATGTTTTGCAGACCAAGTATAATCCAACTCCGTCAGCTTGAGAATCACGCCTACAGCTGAGTCTCTCAACTCAGGCCAAACATCTTCGCCGATATTCTCTTGCATCGTTGGAATGTTTGCGAGAAAACAACTGTGGTTCATGTTCCTTTGTTGAATAGGCATTTTACCAATCTGATAAAGCCGCGGAGGATACCTCGTGTTACCCGAAGATGATGCCATTCCTTTAAAAAAAAGCAAACACAAAGTTAATAAATATCATTCATCAGATTATAACATAGAAAGTCGATTTCACTATCACAAATGGAACAATAAAAAAAGCAAAAAAAAAAGTTTCCTTTTCTTGTGATATTTAGAAACATAAATCGTGAAGTAACAAAGTGTGAGACTTCTTCGATTTCACATTATTAAGAGTTGGTTATTTAACTGCTAAAAAAAAAGACAAATCGAATTTCAATTTGGGAATTAGGGTTTTCAAATTGCAATTTGAAATCAATCTTTGTATGATAACAACAACTTCAAGTAACACAAAAAGAAATTAAAAAAAAAAAAAACAGAACCAGTTTCTCATTTTGTCGGAAATACCAAATTGTAACACCCGCATTTTCCAAAATGATAAAATAAATAAAAATGTCTGAAATCTCCATTTATTAAATCGCATAAATCATCTCCAAACTCCATAAATCCAAATAACATAATAAATCTCAAAATAACGATAAAAATAAGTCTGAAAATAAATAAAATAAACTCCCAAAAGCACCAATCCGAAATGATCACTCC